TATACTCCAGCACTACCCCATGACACTGGCTCCCAACTAACATTATTGTTTTCCACAAATAATTAAGAACAAATGATTCTACAACATCATGTGGGCTAAACACATGATATTCTGAGAGCTCTCCAGGGGACTTTGGCTTGGTTGATATTTTTTCCCCTGTAGACAAGAGAAGAGTGTTACCTTTCGTGGACTGCCTGATGACTTCTGCCAAGGTCATGGGGGGCTTCTTTTCCCCTGGTGTTTGTCGGCTCCCGCTTGACTCATTTTGTTCCTGTACAGAATCCCGAGAGTTCTCTTCCCCAACATCCATCGTTTAATATCCTTGAAATGTTTGGAATTCTCTGCTGAGGAGATGGTGTCTTCTCCTTCCAGTGCCAAGAAGGATCTCCCGGGTGAGATCTCGCCTCATCCTGGACATGTGGAGATACAGGAAATTCCTTGATGACTCAGGATGTTCATCCTCATTCGCCTCATCCCTCGGCTTATGAGTGTGTAATAGTCGTGTTTGCTCCCCCCCCCCCATAACCAAGGCACCTGAGACATCCTGGAAGTTGCTCTGTTCCACGTGCCGGTGAATGAGGTGCCGTGGAATCCTAATGACTCTCTTGCCTCAGCGGTTGCTGCCCTCTAGACGGAGCAGGAAGGTTGGGAAGCGACAGGGCAAGCCCGGATGTTAATTGCATTGGTTTCCAAAGGTGTGGGAAATGTGGGAAATTGCAACGAGAGTGCTGGAGTTCTCTTGCCATGGAAAACCCACAGCGCCTTCAAATATTGCAGGAACTTGGATTTTAAACACTTAAGCGAAGGCAGAAATCATTAGGGGACTCTTGCACAATGACAGGTAAACTTTCACCCTGGATGCCAAAGCACACTCGCTTGGAAGTCAGTTTAATTGAAATCCAGTGGGATTTACTCCAGGTAAACCTACCGGGGTCAGAAAAGTCTTTTTGCTTTCGCCTTTTTTCTTTCCTGGCACACTCCAGGAATCAGAGCAGTACTTAATGAATCCTAGCCTGCCTGGGCTTGAAAAATCCGTCTGTAACTGGCTTTTCCAATCAGCAGAAATAAGGCCATGTAAAAGACATTCTGGCACAGAGGTCATTTCGGGGGGGATCGTGGGGGATCGCAGTTCCCCCGGGTGAGGTACGGGGGGTGGGGCACACGACGAAGCCCCGCCCCCTGCTTCCGGCTGCCCCGCTTCCGGCCCTCATTCAGCCAGGAGGAGGCAGGAGAAGAGGGAGGGTAAGTTGCTTCCTCCCTGCCTCTCCCCACCCCTGCCTGCCTGGAGCCAGGGAGGGCCTTCGCCGGGCTTCCTTGCGCTCCCGCCGGCCTTGCAGGTCCACCGGCGGGCCCCTCGTGGGGCTCGGCAGTGGAGCTGCAAGGCCGGCGGCGGCGGCCGGGACCGTTGGGGGCGGGGTGTGGGGCCTTATGACACACTTCCGGTGATGTCAGGGGGTGTGGCCTTATAACACACTTCCGGTGACGTCAGGGGGTGTGGCATATGCTAATGAGTTATGCTAATGAGTTTCCCTAGCTCTTTTTCTATGAAGCGACCCCTGTTCTGGCATATAGGCTGAGAGCCCACTCGCTCTGCCCTGCATGGGCAAGGCCAATGTTCCCTCTGAGCTGAGTTAGTGTGAGCTAGCTCACAGTGTTTTAGCCTCCAGCTCTCACATTTTTGTCTTCGCTCAGGGAGGGATGGCTCCAGAGCAAATTAATTTCTGCAGTAGCCAAATCGCTCGCTCACAACTTTAATGTCAGTAGCTCATAAAGTAGAATTTTTCCTCACAGGACTCTCCACAGCTTAGAGGGCGCATTGGGCAAGGCTGATCTCGTCAGATCTCACAAGCGAAGCAGGACCTGCCCTCGTTAGTGTCTGGGTGGGACCACCAAGGAAGGCCAGGGTTGCGACACACAGGTTGGCAGTGGCAAACCAGCTCTATCCAGCTCTGGCCTTGGATACCCTGCGGGGTTGCCATAAGTCGGCTGTGACTCGATGGCATTTTCCACCACCAGTCAGAGGTGCCCAAGACTGCCGGTTTCGCCGCAAGAGCCCACTGTCAAGGCATTCTGAACATGGAAAGCCAGCCTGATGTGGCAGTTGTCACTAGAGATGTGAAGGCCCGGAAAAAACCCGGAAAAATTCGGGGGGGGAACTGTTTCCCCCCTGTTTTTTTCCTGAAGCCTTTTTTGTTTTGTTTTTTCTGAAAAATTGGAAACATTAAGAAAAGAAAAGAAATTGATTATGGAATGTTTTAATTTAACATGACGAATAAAATATTTTAAGATGTCCATAGTCATATTTTATGTTCCTAAAGTAACAGAGCTTCAAAATTTCCGGAAATTTTACATCTCTAGTTGTCACATTGGACAAGGCCCTGGGTGGTGACTTAGTGAGGAAGCCTAACCAGATCTACTCAGGAGTAAGAAAGTGACACTTACTCCCAAGAAAGTGTCCAGAAGCTTACCGTGCAAGACCTGCATGCCGCTCAGAAGTCAGTTTAGGAGGCTGAGGGTTATGGCTGCCAAGGCCGATGAGCTCGCGTTTGTGTGGCACGTGGGAAGGGCTAGGCGGGCCCTCTGGACCTGCTTGCCACGCGCTCCGCATCAGAGCAGGGAACTCTGCAAGTCCAGACTGCAAATCTGACTCTACGTTTTGCCCCAGCGGGTCATGCGGAAACGACGAGAAACAAAGACTCAATGAAGTAAAATTAAATGGGTCACTGAGACACAAAAGTGGCTTTTGTACAAGCAGCTTGGGTTGTGGTTCATCTGGTCTGGTTTCCTTTTTTTGCACAATGGCTGCCCCAGTAACCCCGGAAGGCCTACAAGCAGGGCCAGGAAGCAAAGGACTTGCCCTGAAGTCACCCCTCAGCACAGGTATTTGGAGGGTTACTGCCTCTGAACATGGAGGCTCCATTTAGTGATCATGGCTAATGGCCACTGACGGACCTATCCCTCTCAAAATTTGTCTCATTAAAGCCAATTAAATGAGCAGCCATCATTATATCCCGTGTAAATGAATTCCACAGGTTAATTACTATTTGGGTGAAGAAATACTTCCTT